GAAACATTTTGCAATCTTTTATTCTCTTTGCAATCATACGCCACGTACAGTTTTTGTCAATCATACACCTTGTTTCGAAACGATCTTTGCTTGATTTGTTAACTTTTAGTTGATAGCCATCTTCCACACATTTCGTATATAAAGCTATCTTCAAGTCTTCCTTTGTATCAAAACAATCATCTTTCTTGATACGAATAACTTTTGTGTAACAATCAACTGCTTTCTTTATCAACTCTTCTTCCGGTATCTGAAGTAATTCTGGCATATTCCAGTTATACGCCCGTGGCATTTTCTTTTCTTCGGGGACTTTTTCTTCTTCTTTTTCTTCTTCAGGATTATATGAATTACAGAATGGATGTTCAACATGTTCATTCACAGTCGTAACTTCCTCCTCATTATCATCAACATTACATTCTTCGGCAACGGCTGTTTCATCATCAAAATTCGGGTATTGACCAATATCAATATCATTACACGCATGGTCTGTTTCTTCTTCTGAAACATCATCAAAATCCGTGTATTGACCAATATCAAAGTCCGGATATTGACCAAGACCAAATTTCGAATACTGACTAGTAATCACAATTTTTTCTGTTGGCTCATCATCGTCTAACTGGTCAATACGAAAACCGGAATTTGGTGCTGAAAGTTGATTGGGATTTGGATTAGAGAAAGGTTGTGGGTTTTGAGAAAAACTTAGTTGATTACTACCCGCTACTGACCCAACAATACTACTTCTAGGTTCAACAACATACAATGTAACATCATCTTGTGAAACACTAATGTAAGCAATGAATCGTTCAACATCTTCATTGTCGGTTAACAAATAAACTTTACCATTTCTCTGATAAGATAGCCTAAATCCACTTAGGGGCTCTAAATTCAATTTATTTGAAACACGTAGCATTAGAGTTTCATAAGTTAACTTTTGTAAAGACAATTTTAGTTGAAGATTTATGGGTAAAGGCATATATTGTAAAACACCATTAACATTATCCCATGACCCTCCAAAACACAAATCTATCCAAACATGATCAACATTAGATGATTTCATGGTTGTAACTAAACAAACGAGATGCGAAACTAAGACCTGTTGCCGGATGGGGAAGGATGTCGTTGGATATAGGAACGGATGTCGCCGGAGAGAGTGATAGATGGAGATGGAATGAGTTGCGATTTAGGGATTTAGTTTATGATTTCAGTGTTATATACCCAAAATTTCAGTGTTGTGATTTACAGATTCTCGTTGCGATTTACGGATTATCGTTGCGATTTACAGATTCTCGTTGCGATTTACGGATTATCGTTGCGATTTACGGATACGCGTTGCGATTTACGGATTATCGTTGCGATTTACGGATACGCGTTGCGATTTACGGATACGCATTGCGATTTACGGATACGCGTTGCGATTTACGGATACACGTTGCGGTTTACGGATACGCGTTGCGATATACGGATACGCATTGCGATTTACCCATACGCGTTGCGATTTACGGATACACGTTGCGATTTACGGATACGCGTTGCGATTTATGTGTTCGCGTTGCGATTTTCATATTCGCGTTGCGATTATGGAAAATCGCAATGCGAATTTGTACTATCGCATCGCGATTTTCAAGAATCGCGTTGCGATTCTGGAAACTGATTTGCGATTCTGGGGATCGCGTTGCGATTTTTATTTCGCGTTGCGATTTTGTTGGTCATTTTGGCAAATCCAAAAAAAGTTGGTTAAAATCGTATATTATAACTTTTTTTTGGTCACTGAGGCGATTTTCTCAAAATTATATTATACGACAGTTTTAATATACATTTCAATAAAAATTTTAACGAAAATATTAATACTTTTTAATATTTTCAGTAAAATAGTACATAAAATATTATTTTTTTATTATAAATGTTATTTTTGCTAATTAATTTTTGGTATAACTCAATATTAATATTTTCGGTAGAAAAATAATGTTTTATGTAGCGTTTTCCCGAAAATGTTAAACATTTTAAGTATCGCATAATATTAACATTTTCGGTAGAAAAAAATAATGTTTTATGTAGCGTTTTACCGAAAATATTAAACATTTTAAGTATCGCATAATATTAACATTTTCGGTAGAAAAAAATAATGTTTTAGGTAGCGTTTTACCGAAAATATTAAAAAATATTAACATTTCCGATAACACATTTTCTTTATCGTATATTAAAGTTATTGTACCTAAGACATCCCTAAATGAAGCTTTTAAAATCTTCTCCCGGTTTATTTGTTTATTGTTTTCAACAAACTCTTTTAACTATGAAATGATCACGTGTGACACTCTTAATATAATGTTAAAAAAATGTGTTATCGGTTTTGTTATGAAATTATAACAAAACCGGTAAAAATTACTAGAAACATTATTATTTCTACCAATTTTGTTATTATTGTGCGTTTTACCGGTTTTGTTAACAAAATTGATAACGCGCTATCAGTTTTATTGTCGGACACTTTACAGAAAATGTTAAAAACATTGATGTTTTAGATAGAAATAATAATATTTTAGATAATTCTTTTACCCATTTTGTTATTATTTATATAACAAAATCGATAACATATTTTTTTAGTTGTATATTAAAAGTGTCGCACTGTAAAACTTTCGGTTTCAACATCTACAATCTCTTTAAAACAACCGATCATAATATGTTGTTTTCGACGAATGACGACATCATAATATTTCTATTTGGGTTTGAACAATAATATTTATGTAAGATATTTATATTATCAATTGATTAAAAAACTTCCAAACATATATTAATATTGTCTTTTAATCACATCTCAAACTATTTTAAAAAGTATTTAATATTTTAATTTATTTATTTTTTTTTAAATTGTAGGGGGATTTTCGGTGGGCTAGTGAAGCTTTAGTTATGCTTTATTGCTTTATTATTGTTGTTGTTATGTTCTGTCATTCTTTTTTAAACAGTACATATAGAGTAAGCTACTAATTAAATTAACAAAAGAGAAGGAAAATTAGGAACAAAAAAGTCTATTTTCCACACATTATTAATTAAATTATGGAGTATGGTATAATAATTAATTTAGTTGGGAATTAGGAATGATTTAATTGGATGGAGATGGTCCATTATCCATATTAAATTTATTGTCCGCAAACAATAACAACATCATTAGCTACATACATACACACATACATGTATATATATATATACATGCAAAGGAAAACCTACATACATACACACATACACAAAAAAAAAGCTAACCCTATTTTCGTATATAATGGGAGAGATAGGGTATTAGGTTGTCCCCAACGTTAGGTTGAGAGCAACTTTCGTGGAAGACATCTAACAATTATGAATTGTCCACCGTGAGACTCGATCCCACGACCACAAGGTTAAGAGACCTCTAATCAATCAATTATTTTTAATATTCGTTTTTTTATTTGTACCGCAAATAAATGATTTCACAGTTAAAAGCATGGTTTTCAGAACCGGACCGGTTAGCGAATCGATCATGCTACCGGTTCACTGGTTCAACCGGTCGAACCGGTCCGACCGGTCGGAAGAACCAAACGACGTCATCATTATTTAAAAAATTAAATAAAAATATCAAAAATATTTAATAAAAAATAATTTTTTATATCACAAGTCATATTCAAAGTAAATCATACCATATATAAGTTAAAAACCATAAAATCAAGTGAAACAAAATGATTCAAATTAACTACAACATAATATTTAAGGTAAAACATATTAAATAATAAATATAATTATATAACTATAATTAAAAAATAAATTTGGAGTTAAAAAATCATAACAAAATGATATTGTTTGGTTTATTTTTTTTTTAAAACAACCCCACATGGCTAAGAAACATAGAAGAACATCCCAAAAGTCTAAAGAGTAAAAATATGATAACAAAACAATCTCACATTGCTAAGAAACATAGAAGCGCATCACAACTAACTTCTATAAATAATAGAGGTAATTTGACATTTAAAATCATGGAACCTTTTGGTGAGCATTGAGTGAAATATTCTTTCACTTCAATCAAGCTCGAATTTTAGGGTTCAATCGAGCTTCTAATTTTTTTTGAGTTCAAGCCTTTTTGAGTTCAAGTTTCAATATTATATTTCGAGTTTGAGTTGAACTTGATAATTTTTAGCTTGTGAGTTTGAGTTGAGTTGAGCTTACTTTTAAAGTTTTCAAGTTCGATTCGAGCTCAGCAATACTCGAGTTCGACTTGGCTCGTTTAACAAACGACGTTGTTTGGTTTAATTTTTTTTTAAAAAAAAAAATCCCGGTTTTTTCCGGTTTTCAGCCGGTCCGGTTCGAACGGTTCAGCGGTTCTGACCGGTTCACTAATAGTGGTTCAACCAGTTTAGATTGAACCAGACTAAGTAACGATTTCCGATTGAACCGATCGATCCGATCCGATTTTCAAAATAGAGGTTAAAAGTCAAACAAAAGATTATTACTATTAAAAGTTATATTTAATAGAAATTCCAAACTTGTATTTTTGAAACCTTCCAAACAAAATCGAAACTAAATAATAAATATATAGAATATATAGATTACATGATATTTGATTTGGATTGGGTAGAGTTTATATATATATTTAAAATGACTAAGAAAATATATATAATTAGATTATGTAATAATTTACAGTTAATATTGTAAATATATTTAATTAAAGTGCAAGCATATTATTTTTTATTTTGAGATCTATACATGCTTTTTTTAGAGTAGAAAAACAATAGGAAAAATATAAAACAAAACAGACCAACCAATGAACCAAATAAGCTTATTAATCTCTAAATAAAAATTAAAATCAATGAAAATATGATGTACTGTTTTTTATTGCCGTTTAAAATTGCAGCTAAAATTTATTTATAAATATTATCCTAATTTGTCAACAAACAGCAGTGAAGATCCTACGACACATTAATGCCTTAATTGCAGGCTTTTAGCTTTTGCCATCTATTAAACCACAACTCAAAGCTCGCCTTTTCATATCTCTATCTCTTTCTCTCTCATTTCTCATTCTCTCAAGCTCACAGCTTTGGTATCTCTTTGAGCAGTTCACCGGCACCGACCTTGCCGGGATCTGGTCGGAACTTTCACCGGAAAAAGCATGAACCTCAATTGAGCTTTTTCCCATTTTTTAGCATTCTGTTATAAGCTGAAGAAACAAGCTTTTTGGATCGGTTTGAAAGACAGCTTTTTTTTGGGAGGGGATGTTATTAGAGATTTAGTTGAAACCGAACCATATAAATTCTGGGTTTTGCTTATTTTGGTAATGTATGTGGAGTGTTTACAAGGTTTTAGCCAAAACAAGTGTAGCTTTTAAATCTGGGGTTCTTTTTTCTTTCTCAAGTTTTGCTTTTGGTAAGCTTGGTGGAGCTGTTGTTTCTATGTGAAATAATAGTTTAGTTGTTCCAAAGAATCTTAGGCTTTAGTTATTTTTTTAATGCAAAAGTTTGGTTACAAGGGAAGTTTAGAGGTTGAAGGAGCTGGTGATTAAGCTGATTAAAATTACCAGAAATCACCTTATCTTGTTACAAAAACAACCTGAAGTTTCGTAGCTGTTCTTTCTTCTTCTTCTTCTTCTTTTGCATTATATTTGATTAAAAGCCTGAATTTTGGATCAAGTGGAAGGGAACTTTAAACTCAAGTGTTTGTTGTTATTGAGTTGAGATTAAGGTGAGAAGGGGTAATTTACAATGTGTAGAATAGAAGAAACAAGTGGAAAGTGTGATTACAAGAAACAGTGGGAAATGAAGATTAAGATCTTTGGGGAAGGGAAAGTGGAGAAGTTAAAGAACTCAATGGTTTCAAGGCCTAGAATGAAGCTATGGATGTTAAGGGCATTAACCACAATTTTGTTATGGACTTGCTTTATTCAATTGATGGCATTGGGAGAAATGTTTGGTCCGAAATTCTTGAAAGGTTGGCCTTCTTGTTTCACTCAATCTGATTCTGAATTGCCTTTGGTTGCTGAACTGTCTTCTATTCCACCAAAACTCATCCTTCCTCCAAAAAGTAAGTTTCCCAAGGTTTCTCTGTTTCAATGTTAATTTTATATGTGAATGAAGAGTTCCCATTTCCCCATCTGATATGATTTTAATTTGCAATTTCTTGAGTATGCCATCATTGATTTCAACAATTTTCATTTTGTTCTATATTTGGTGTTTCTCTGCAATATTTTCATTTCTCCTGAACAGCCAAATTTTGCCAAAGATGCCTTTTAAGTCCTTAACAAAGACTTTGCTTCTTATAATCTTTTTCCCAATCAAGTTGTCTATGATTACTGTTCTTATTTGATGGTTGTTTTTGCAGGGTTATATAAGAACAATGGTTATCTTATGGTTTCCTGCAATGGAGGACTTAACCAAATGCGAGCTGCGGTAAGTCGATAACCGGTTTTTTTTTCTCATAACTTTCCTGTTCAGATGCTAACCGTTTTGTGTCGTTTCCTGGTTCGATTTGCAGATTTGCGACATGGTTGCCATTGCCAGATACCTAAATGTCACGCTTATTGTCCCGGAACTAGATAAAACCTCATTCTGGAATGACCCTAGGTACATGCTATTTATTTAGCCTTTGTTTCTGGACAATTAAAAAGTTTTAGAATTATGCCCTGCAATTCAACATGATCGTCTAATTGGTGTTCGTAATATCAGTGAGTTTAAGGACATTTTTGATGTTGAACACTTCATTACTTCCTTGAGGGATGAGGTTCGGATATTGAAGGAACTACCACCTCGAATTCAGCGACGGGTTGATCAAGGAATGTTCCTCTCTATGCAACCGGTCAGTTGGTCCGATATTTCTTATTATGATCATCAGGTTAGTTTCCTATAGCTTGAAGATGGAATAAGCTTTGGTGGCTTGGAATTGTTCACTATTCATTAAATTGCAGCTAATTTCTGGAGTAATTGCTTGCAGATTCTTCCTCTTGTGCGAAAGCACAAAGTTGTACAGTTGAATAAAACCGATACTCGGTTTGCAAATAACGAACTACCCCTCGAGATTCAGAAGCTGCGCTGCCGTGTAAATTTCAATGCACTGAGGTTTACTTCCCAAATCGAGGAATTGGGTAGGAAAGTTGTCAAGATTTTAAGGGAGAAAGGCCCTTTCCTTGTGCTTCATCTCCGTTATGAAATGGACATGTTGGCCTTTTCAGGCTGCACTCATGGCTGCAACAGCGAGGAAGAGGAAGAACTTACGAGAATGAGGTAAGCCATAAGCTTGTTTGTCGTTTCCATAACTATAAATTTTGCCATCCCTTCACTAATCACGGCGAATCCGATGCTATTAGGTATGCTTATCCTTGGTGGAAGGAAAAAATAATGAATTCAGAGATGAAAAGGAAAGAAGGATTGTGCCCTTTGACTCCCGAAGAAACATCTCTAGTATTAAAAGCGCTCGGTATTGACCGCAACGTCCAAATTTACATTGCTGCCGGAGAAATTTATGGTGGTGCTAGTCGGATGGCTCCGTTGGCAGAAGCATTTCCTAATCTGGTCAGTAAACTGTAGTTTCTGCAACTACAATGCGTATGTATATACCCTAACAATCGTCGTTTCTTGTAAAACAGGTCAGGAAGGAGACTCTACTTCGATCGGACTTGAAATTCTTCCAAAACCACTCATCCCAAATGGCAGCATTGGATTATCTAGTCGCCATAGAAAGCGACATTTTTGTTCCGACATACGATGGAAACATGGCCAAAGTTGTCGAAGGCCATCGGAGGTAACATATTAAGCCTAAAATTTACACTTTACCATTCTTTTCTTAGCTCGCATCATATCGATGGCCTGTTCGAGTTCGGTCTGATTTACATTGGCAATTTCCCTGTTTAACACGTTCCAGATTCTTGGGGTTCAAGAAAACCATCTTACTAGACCGAAAACTTCTAGTCAAGTTAATAGATCAATACCAAAATGGATTGTTAAGCTGGGAGGAGTTCTCCGATACCGTGAAGGAAGTTCATTCGAATAGAATGGGAAACCCAAAGAAACGGGTCGTGATTCTGGATAGACCGAAAGAAGAAGATTATTTTTATTCGAATCCACATGAATGTCTACAACTGTTGGATGAACCTTTGAGAAGAAGATGAGGCGAATAATGGTGGTTAAATTATGATCTTGAATTATACTTTTGTACTTGAAATACATATTTATTACCAGACATAACTCGCAAATAATGCAGATCCCAATTTGTTTTTGTTAGGTTATTACTTTTTATTTAGTTTTCAGCCGTGGTTCCAAAGCTTAATCAGAGAGTATTAATTATTTAAATTAGTTGTACTATAACATTAAAATAACCAAATTATGTTGAATTTAAAGTACATCGGAATCAGAATTAGACATTTTTTAATATATAAACCCCAAAAGGAACATAAATATATATGGAGTGTATTCCAAGGAATTACAGTACATTGTTCAAAACATGAACTCCCATTAAAAAAAAATGGAAAATGACTCCTGCACCAAGAAATTCCATTTAGAAGAATTCAAAATCCCTAGATGTCTCTCTCCTCTTTCACATACATAAAATTTAGGATGGTTGAGTTGAAGAAATAGAGGAAATGAGTGATCCAAGAAAGAAAGTTGAAAACTTTGATAAAAATTAAAACTTGGTAATTGTGGGGTGATCCACCCAAATCCCACCAAGTAGTCAAAACCATATGTGTGACACTCACCCAAACATGTGCGGCAGTTCTATCCCCTCAATGTAGCTTTCTCTGCCCCCACACATCTCCATCTCCATCTCCTAAAAGTGGGTTATTTCCTATAAAGTTTCATACTTTTCACCGATATCAACTACCTAAAAATTAAATAGAAGTATCATATTCTAAGATAAATATTAAAGTTTGAACTCGTATAAAATGAGATAAGATGAGAATTTTTTACTATTAGATCAATTAAAATATATTAAACAACTAATAAATGAAATATTAGTGATTATATATAAAAATATTAAATTTGAAGTTGTTTAAACGTATTTTTGTAGTATATGAGATGGTTCATAGTTCCCATCTTGGGTTTTAAGCTCCTATATCTTTGATTCTTTTCCATGATTCAAATGATGGAAAGAATTAATCCCATGAGGACTTTAGTGATTAAAAATTGGTCGTCTAGCTCTGTTGGTAAAGCGGAAGGCTCTTAACCTTGTGGTCGTGGGATCGAGTCTCACAGTGGATAATTCATAATTCTGACTGTCGGAGGTCTTCCACGGAAGCTACTCTCAACCTGGCGTTGGGGGTAGCCTACTATCCTACAGAGGTCTTCCACGAAAACTGCTCTCAACCTGGCATTGGATATGATGAAAAAGATAAGATCAAGATCACTATATCATAATTTAAAGGATTAGTTTATTTTTTTTCATTTAGCAGCCCAATGGCACTTAATTAATGTTGACCGATTAGATATCTTAATCTGTTTATTTTAAGTATTTTACAATGTGTTTTCTAATCATAAAAGACAAAACCTGACATATGGATTTCTACCTAATACATAAATCAGGTTCAAAGAATTTTTTACTTCTTTATTTATTGTACTTTTGAAATATTAATTAAACACATATAATACTTTTTAATCTAATTTGTATAATATTAAAGACGTTAAAATATTTTTGAGACTGTTAATCTATTTTTGAAATCAATATTAACTAATTATACTCAATTAAGAGATTATTATACACCTAAACTCTCTCCACCCTGTAACATCCAAGAATATGTCAACTACAACTCATAATAAAATAGTAGATAAACTACTCCATTTACTCACTCACATATTTTTGAGTTTATATTTTATTTTATTTTAAATCATATATTTTGTTACCATCCCTAGTCCCTAGTCCCTACACCCACAATTCGAATCTGAATTGGCACAATGATACGCCACCGTTTACTGGTGTTGGGAATCTAAATTTCCAGGTCATACAAGCAATAAGTGTCTAACTCAAAACAGACAAGCAAGGTAAGATTGAAGGACATTGTTCCCTTCCCTTGTACACCCTAAATTCACTAAATTTCCTCCTTCACGACGTTACAAAATGCAAAATCATCAAACCTATAGTCTACAGCAAAAAACTCCTGACCGCACACCTGGTAATGACAGAAGAAACATCATTCGAGCCTAAAAAGAAAAGGCAAAAGCTTTTCATATGGAAAATGGAAGATACTGTGATTACATAATACCGTAGAAATAACAAAGCAGCTTCTCATGTTTATATATATATATATATGTGTGCATGCACGCACACCTCTGTCTGGAACAGGTAAACCCTGCATCCAATACCAATCATTTTCCTACATATTCATCAAAGGAAAAACTTCAATTGTGAATATCAATCAGTTCAGGCACTTGACAAGCCTACTGATTCATCTCTGATAATCAAGTCCTACTGCTCATTTACTGAGTGGGAAGGGCACTCTACTGATACACCATCTTCAGAGACTCAGCGACAGACTCCTTGTGAGTAGGAATTGTGTGTGCATGTTAACTAGCTCAGGGGTACGATTCAATGTTTTAAAAGGAGCAGCATTACCCAAGTATGACTCAATTGAGTTCTGAGTATTTGCAAATGGAATGTCAACATCATTCTATTACAGTCCATTAAATTGTCTGCGAACCTGTGATCATTTATCTGTTCAAAAAAGTAACTCACGAAAACAATTATGCTTCCTCTTGCTATACTATTGGACTCAGGTTAATATTAGATACACCAATATGTTTGGGATGGACATGCTTGATTTTTTCCTTTTTCAATCTATATTACTATAGCAAAATCAGAAAATTAGAATTATAATATCCGAATTTAAACGAATGATGTGAATTTTTCAAAAAAAAAAACATATATATAAAATTTATAAAAGGATTTTTTTCCAAAAATTTCAAAGTGTCCATACTTTTTAAAGTGATGTTAAATTTATATTTTTAATATTTTATATGTAAATTTTAAAAAAAGTTTTTTCGCCACTGTATATGAACGATGCTGCGCCTGCATGCTCATCAAAGTTGGGCAGACATGATAGAACTAAGCATTATTCGGTTGAGACAAAAAACCAAACCAAGCTTATACGGATTTGTTTCTGTAACCTGAACGAAGGATATATTTGTGTTATATCTTTTCACAGTTTTATTAATTTTATAATAAACTTGGTCGAATCAGTAACCAAAATTGGAATCCGACCAGTTTGATAAGTATCGGTCATCGGCATAAGGCGGTGAGAGCAGAAATTCAACCGATGCTACAAGATAGGATCATGCAACCCTAAAAGGATGCCTTGAAGAAATCGTTGATTAAGTTGGGTCTGTCCGCACAGGTCGAAGCTTGGGTGCGGGCGTCTTCGACCTGAAACCGATGTCCCAATGCATGTAAAAAGAAATACAGCACGTCTTAATATAGTAAAAAAGATAAGCATACTGCCTACCTCGGCTTAAATGAATTATTTGTCAATTAAAAAAAACTTTTGAGCAGTTGGCAGGAGAAGATGTGCCATGGTTGATCACGGCAAAACTTGAAGTACAAACTCAGATTAATCTTTCTATTGGACAATAGCACATATAATATATTTGATCTTTACATTAAAAGCATAGAATCAAATTTTTATGTGATGTTCTAGCTCATTCTTTTGTACCAATACCATCTCCAATATCTCTGTTCATTCCTACACATTTTCCGGTAAAGACATCCAACCAATGGACATCTCAACCCATTCACGTGACGAATATGCTATGCTAATCCCCCGGTGCGGAGGTGCCAATTTATGCCAACCGTGTTAGCAGTACAGTATCTTCAGAGCATGAATGGCACACTACTAAGATTGCGTTGCACCTCCAATTCAAACGATATAAGGACAAGAATCACTAATACCCATATCGATCATTCAACTTAGTTCTACCGTCACCAGATTGCCCTGCAAGGAACATAGAGTTTTTAAAATAAAAATCACAGTGCAATTCCTATGAATGAAATCATGTTTGCAATCCATTCATCGGTACACATTACAGATGCTACGGTTAAACCCAAATGAATACCTTCAGGAGGAACCCATGTTTCATCTGGATTGCTATCAAGAAATGAAGGCTTCTCAGGTCCAAGCACTCGTTTCGGCTTCTTCTCGTTCTTAGATTGATTTCTGGCCAACAGATCAGGGGTTTCATACAATTCCTCATCATCTGCATGGTACCCTCTAGTGTGCCTCAGTAACAGTGCCACAGCATTCTGTGCAATTTCTTCAGCACCTGTAGCGGATGCCGTAGATTGATCCAAGGCTTTATCATCCACATCGGGTTTCTTAACCTGTTTCTGTTTCCTTATAATCAGACCGGAGGAAGCAGTTTCAATTCCTGGCTCTTTAACCTGTGAATTGTCCACAATTCCAAGTGCTTTCTTCCTATCTTTGTAGTCAACAAATTCATCAACTTCATTTGTATCTACTTCTATTACTTGATTTGATTCTTTAATTTCCTTGTTCTCAACAGCACCAAGCCACTGTGGCTTTGCAATGGTATGGATAACTTTTTCCCCCTCAGATGTATCACTAACAAGATTCTCTTCTGGTTTCTTTGTTGATTCGGTACAGACATCTGCAACTGCCTCTTTCTGCATGGGAGAATTTTCTGGTTCTGTAGATGTACTGATTTTTTTGGGTTCCTTTGGAGTCTGCTTCTGGACAACAGCTGCAGGAGGTTTAGACTTTTCGGGTGCTGGTACTTGTGCCTTTGTATCCCTTTTCTTAGCAGCTTCTCCCATTGGATCCGAAATCTTCAACAGGTAGGAGATCCGGTCCAACTCAGTCTGAAGGGCAGAAAGTTCCTTCCCAAGTTGCTCTGTCCTATCAAGCTCTGATGAAGAAAGAATCAGCCTAGTTGGCTACAGGCATTTCACTATTTACTCTACGCTTCTTTAGATTGCCAAGTAAAAGTTCTTCCTTTTTACATTATCCATGATTCAGTAGTTTATTCATTAATTGTTGGAAAACATTTTTGCTTTTGTATGCTAAGGCTTCTTTTTATACTTTGCTTTCAAAGGAAAAAGGAAGCAGCAGAAGGTTGCCATTAGAAGAAGCCTAAGAAAATGTAGAAGGAAAGACAATGTGTTTTTAACTATTTTCAACAACAGCATTCTGCATATTTTATAAACTTGTAGGAATATACACACACAGACACACATATTTTAGTTTAAAAATAACTCACCTAGCTGGGATGAAAGCCCAGACATGTAAGCATCAAGTGCATCTCCAGCTTCAGTTTCTAAGCCAGTTTCTGATGCCATTTTATTCTTCTCACTCAACAGCAACTCTTTCTTGCCTTCAATTTCTTTTGTGATGGCATCTCTCTTATCAAGAAGACTATCAGCAGTTTCAATAGACTGGGTTTCACCAACCTTTTGCACAGTGGGTTTCTTCTTTGTTCGGTCATAGAAGTCATCATCGTCACTGAAGAACCAAAAATCATTATGAGCATCAAACATTTATCTAGCTTCGTAAGTCAACTGAAGAACAAACCAGAGGCTCGTCCTTCTGATATGCTTAAAGAAGAGAAGAAAACTAAGAAAAATAAATGCAATAACAGGTAATTACGTATATATTTTAGACAAGTAACCAAGTATATAACAAAAATTTGCATGCGTTTCAACAACTTTGGCAGCAAAGGTAACATAAAATCTCTTGTTTTCTCAAAATGGCAATTACCTTTCAAGGTCCTCCTCCTCATCCTCTGGCCCTCCTTTTCGCTTACCGCGAGAAATCTTTCCAGCACGGGCACCTATGCTTTCACGGATACTGTCGTTTAGAGTCTCTTCCAAGCTTTCAAGCTCCTCCAGTATCTACCAAAATTGATTTGTGTCAGAAATATTCTTTGACTTCTCTTCACAATCAAAGTATATAATCCAATAGAAATGCACCAGACTCCTATCCACATAACTTCCAACATACCTGTGTCATCCTTTGTTCATTCCTAGCAATCTGAGTTTGTTGGCCTTGTGTCAACCCACCTTGTGCAATGTCTTTGGCTCGTATTGCATCTATCTCTTTCTTCATATGGGCAATCTATTTCCAGAACAAGTTGAAATAATAATAATTAAGACAAACAAATAGAAAAACACAAACGCGAAATAGATCAGAAGGTGATATCTGCAAGTTGAATCTAAAGATCTAGAAAGAAAGTTTAGACAACTAAAACAAACAGCTCAAATGACGAAAAGAAATGTGTTACTAAATTCATTTCATAGGACATCAAAGAAAAAGGGTTTGCCTTTTCAGTCCTTTTTATTATCTTATCCCGGGTTTTCTCCTGCTTCTCTGTAAGCTGCCCTTTGTAGGTTTGCCAAGTCACTTCATCAGCATCATCCTGGATATCCAAATGACATTAATAAGAAAATAAAATTAACAAAAAACATCTTTTAGTCTTGCAATGGAAACAATAGGAAATTAAGGTATGAAATAAAAATGTACAATATACGTGGCCATCAAGTGAAAATGGCAAGCACTGCCCCCCCCCCCAAACACACACACACAAATAAATAAATAAAAAGAGAGAAAATGATAAGAGAGCCTAATGCTGAAGCAATTGAATAAGAAATCAACACTTAATTGCCTGCAGGGAACGAAGTCATCAAATTCATTACAATCATCTGATTGGTAGCTGATGGAATGAAGTGGATCCTAAAGAAAAACAACTGTGCCATTGCAATCATTCAAATTTTGGGAGGAAGAGTCCAATTTTTTTTTCATAAAAACATTGTTTTAATCACATAGAACATAAACCCAAAAAAAAACTACAAAGCATTATATTAGTTTCTACGTAGTACAAACCTCAGCTTCTTCAATAGCATCCTCTCCCATGCCCCATGAGATACCATCGGAAAGAGATGCTTCTGCTCTTGCTCGTCTAAGTGAAGCTTCCCGGTCTAACATCTCTTCTCGGATCTTAGCTTCTCTGATGACTTTCAAGTCTTTTTCCTACAACACAAATAGCAATTAAATTACAGCAATCGAACACAATAAAGACAATCTCATAAAGAACATATGAATTACAAGTTCAATGACCAAAACAATAAAACAATGCTGCATTTCTTTCTAGTTCTTCCAATAGAAGAACAGATCAGAACAGAATGTTAAAGAAGAAAAAAAGTTGTAATCCAGAACATATAAACCAATAAAGCATTCCATCAAAACATATTCGTGAAAAGATGTCATGTAATATAAATAATATAATAACTGAATGTTTATATAACAAATTGGCCCCAGTCAAATTAGGTGATAATTAATTAAGCTCCGAAATGAAATGTTGTCTCACCTGAGCCCTTATTTGAGTCATTATTTGAAATTTCTATAATCAAGTTTCAAAGGCTTATCTGATCTCATTTTCAAATAAGGGCTCATTTGAGACAACATTTTGTTATAAGATGTAATATAGTGTAATTATATTTTAGGCATATAATGTGGCTTAATCTTAGGAATAGGTTTTTATTGTAATTAGCATATAAGAGCAATGTTAATATGAAAAAGCATTATATTTTTTCTCTCAATTTCTCTATTTGACGACACATTTCACTCAAGGGATCACTTGATTATAGCCTACAACTCAAATCTAAATTGTTGATTTGCCTACCACTACTTTCATTGCTTGGTTCATATTTTATTTTATTTTATTTTGAAATGTAAAAAGAAAAAGAATTGTTCCACACAAAAAGTTGGCAAGAAATTCATTAATTAACAGAAAGCTCAGAGGTTTAAGAAAATTTAGTAACCCATCTGAGCCACTGCTCCACAGGATTCAGATTTCAGAGCATTAAAGATAAAATATTTTGGTTGTTGGATGCTGTCACGTGATATTTTAATTGTCCACCACTAAAAAATTAGATAGGTATGAGGGTATTTATGAATAAACTAAAATGAAAAAAATCTGGAACATGACGGGATTTCTTTTGCCTACATGAATGCCACTTTCAAGGGTATGTACAAGATTTCATAAAACAAAACCAACATGTGATCATATTTGATGGCAAGATAAGAAACTGGAAATTCCAATAAAGAAAAGATTTACAAACAAACAAAATACTTTAAGTGAAAAAGGTAATTCTATCTGTTATACACTTCAACCCCTAAATAGAAATTAATATCAAATGAAAGAATAAATAACCAAAATAGGTCGCATAAAAGTCTTACCGGTGGCATCAACTCAGATGGCCCTTGGAAAATATACAAGCGCGTTGAACTACAAATAAAAATGAGAAAAATCCATCAGAACCTGGTATGACATCTTTCTTTCTCTCCCACTTTTCTTTTTCCTTTAATAAGTTAAACAAGAAAATACTAATGCAATATAAAAGGTGAGATCAATAAAGAACTAAAACGTTTAAAAATTTTAGGGCACACTGAGACCCAAGTTACTAAACATAAAACCTACATAAACTTAAATGCATCATCTGCAAACTCCCTACTAGCCACCCACACCCACCCCTTCTATATTTGTGTCTACAAAAAAAATAACTGACGAATTTACAAGTGAAGAAAACATGTCTTCTATGGCAAATATTTGCATCAATTTTCCCACCATAATGTAGACTACAGTAAAGGGATAACTGCGTAAGCCAGATAGTCCTTTAGAACGGACAAGAGACATATATGCACATCAGAATATGAGGTGGGTGGGAAGAAAAGCAGCATTAAAGCAATGGAATTATGAATGAAATATGAATGGGAAAGGAGATGGAACTCGAGAAAACTTAGGGTTATGGAAAACCTCTAGTTCCTCTCTATTAATTCAGAGATAATAATTAGTTAAGTTGGCTGTAAAGTGTAAAGCCTACAACTTATTTATACGGGTTTGTTTTCTTGCAAGTAAAGTTATAATTCTAAAAATAGATTTAAACCCTAAAGATGTCTATCTAATAACCTAAAAGTACTTGATAACCCTAGCCTTAGCCATCTATCACGTCTAATAATTAATAAATATTACTATAAAATAAAGCTGAAATAATAAAATATTATAAAATAGATAAAGCTCCTGTCTCACAATAGTGTGCAATCCTCAATCAAATTTTGGCTCTAAAACTGATATCACATACATCCATGGGATAACAGTAAAATGAGTAAGGAAAATCAAAAGGAGAATCAAACAAATGGATGGCATTGGAAGAAAGATGGAGAAATAAAGCTATGAGCAAATAAAGACAAGCACGCAAAAGTCTACTTACTGGCCAAATCGAATGACATCACCCACGTGTAAGTCCACATAAGTCCTTTTAGTCACCTAAGATGGCGGAAAAAACTCAGCATGATATTGCAAGCACAAGACATAAAGATAGGCCTCTAAACACAAAGTTCCTACTACAGAGCAGAAAGTTGACCTTTTAAACGTGTTACCATCTTAGCAGAAAATCCAACATAAAAACTGAAATACTTTAGCATGGTAAAATGCAACTTGGTACAACAAATATAATAAAGTTGGACAGCAATACCTGATTCTTATTGACAGAAGTGCCATGTGTACTGCCAAGATCATAAAGATGGGCCTCGCCACTGCTCCTAAACTGAAGCACTAGTAAAGAGAAACGATGATTAAGAATAACAAAAGGAACATTAACTTTAGCAGTCCTTGAAATTAAAATTTGTGCATAAAACCATAGATATTTGAAATGCAACAACAGTCTATCAATAGCATTACACGGATAAAACAGAGAGAGAAAAAAAAGATTTACAACACGCAGCATAAAAACATCATATTGTACAAGTGAGTAAATTGGAAACCAGAGAATGCACTAATCATGGAATCTATGACAACTCTAGCTTCTAGAGCGTACAGAGTTGGTCATTTTAGAGAAGTTTGATAAATCATTGCACAACAATATCACAAGCCAGAGACGCTATTCATTTCAGTCAATTTAATATGGTTTTATTATAAAGTAGAAACTTCAAACAGCAGACAAAAGACTTCAACTCAGACAAGCTATATTGCATGAAATGTACAAAGATTAACATTTTGCTGGCCAGTGAAAAGATTAAAATAGGTTAAGGTTTGATAGCCTTCACAATGAATTTGAAATATGTAACTCTGCGTAACCGTAACCATAATGATCTGAACTTTACAAAAAGGAAACCAAAAAAAAAACTTTGCTCCTTTTACTGGGAATCCGCTCACTTTTCCCATTTTAAGGCCGTAAAATTTCTTTTCTAATTGATAGAATCCCAACAAAATAATCCACTATAGTCCATGTTTTATTCTACAGACATTTCCAACTTAACCAACCAAATTCAAGCTATTAAATTCCTCATTTATTGCACATTGCATATTTGCATAATCAAATAAAAATATTTACCAGCATGAAACCTCGAAATAGTGGGATGTTCAAGCACAAAATCACAGAGATCAACACGCCCAAACATATAAGCTCCCTTCTCATACCTACACAAACAAAGTTCAAAAAATTTCAGCATCCCCCCAAAAAAAAACAATAAGAATGGAGGATTAAAAGGGTGAAAACAATTACACTTCAAATTGGTCAACGATGCAGCCATCTTTAAGCACCTCGAGGAAGAAATGATGACAAGGAGGTCCACTCCACTGAGGGATTGTGTAAGGGACAGATGATTGGTTTGAATTTAATGGCCTTTCAATTGAATTGGGTTCCACATTTGAGTATGCTTGTTTTTCTTCGTCTTGGGGATTTTGCAGGTTAGGGTTTATGGGAGGAGGTGGCGGCGGAGGACCCATCGAGGTTTTGGCTGTATTGGTTTCGGATACGTCTTGGGCTTCCGTTTCGGGTTCGGTCGAGGGATTAGGATTCCGGGGAGGCGGTGGACCCATCGTGATAGTCATGGTTGCGGGAGGGGGAGAGAGAGACAAAAGGAGAGGATTTGCACAAGTTTGAGGGTAAGGCGGCACAGCGAGCAAAGTTAAGGCGGATCTAAGTAATAGGGATGAGCATGGTCGGGTCGGATTTTCAATCAATCCAATTCGACTCGAAAATTATAATTCTTCCACTTGAACTTGACTTTATTTGAAAAATATATATTTTCACCTGACCCGAATTTTGTTTGACTTTTTGAGATAAAATTCTAACCCTACTCGAAATAATATATTTATTAAATAAATGTTATTTTTATTAAATAAAAATAAGAATTTAATTGAAAAAAATAATATATAGATAAGTATTATTGAAATTCTCCTTAAATATAAAGGTAAAATTATATATTTTTCTTGGGTCTGATCGGATATTTTTCACGCTAAATTCAAATTCGACCTGATTCAAACACAACTTCTAAAAAAACCCAACCAGATCCCAATTTTTTTGAAATAAATTCGACCCATTTATATCAAAACCCATCAGGTCCGAGTCTCATGTACATCCCTAGATCTAACAATGGGTTACGGGTCCAAGCATTAAGACCAAAAATCACAGAATCGGTTTTGATGGTCTTCTATAGTTGTATATTATTATTTCTAAACCTGTATAATAAAATTTAAATTGAAATATTTATAAATTAAAATTTATGTAAAATTTTATAATCAAGGTCGCACAATAGGAGAGTTACCTATTGTTTAAACACGGATGGATCAATATTCGACTATTCGTAGATTCGATAAATATATATATATATATATATATATATATATATATATATATATATATATATACAGTTAAAAGCGTTATTATTAAACGGTTTTAATAGAACTATTGATAGTTCCATTATCCTACAAATAAAACTTTGGGACATATATCCACATGAATTTCGCTAGAACAAAGGGTTTCATCTTCTTGTTATCCTAAACCTTATCATCTGTAAGGTTAAATAAAACATGTAATAATACTAAAATTCCATTTATAAAATATCTTTTCAAGTACTAACACAATTTTCAGTACATATATTCACTGTTAAAAAACAGATGGAAGATGATATTTTTAATTTTCTAGGGCTATTTCAGGAACAGTCCCTAGAAGGCTAACAGTAAGCAAACCCATTATTGATCTGAATACTCCATATTTACTATTTCACAACTTGATTTAACAATGTTCAAAATCAAGCATTAAGCGTACATGGGGCGTATGATGCATGAACTTCATACACTGCCCTACAATCTTATCATATAGCTTAATCAAACCTCCTTCGAAAACCCGGAGTTTCGAAATATACATAGGATGATTCTATAAAAACCAGGTGTCTTCAAGGATGTCGAGATGTAAAAACCAAGGGAATTGCTTACATAGATCATGCCCTGGGTCCTGAATTCTTCTTTAAGAGGGCGTAGGCGTCGCTGTATATGGCTATCACGTTCGAGAATACGGCAAGGATAATCATGAAAAGAGCTAAGATCTTGTCTTTCTTTGTTGCTATGAAGTGGTGATCCCTGAAACGCCAATGGAAACAGAATTAGACTAACAATTGATATTCGACACTTGATATGGCAAATTGTATGTCCACTGAAAACGATCAAGACGGATACGAACTTAAACATGAAAATATTACGCAAATGAGTAGGGCAGATGAGGCAGGAGCAACAATTTTCAATAACATCCACATAACATCAAAAACGAACCTAAGAGGATACTCACGATTAATAATACCGATAATGAGAATCACGAGAGCCTGGCAATGGTAACATCTCATGATTCTGGATAATTGAACACACCGAACGTTTCGAGATATCGAACACTAAAAACATGTCTCCCCAGGTTTCAATACAAACCAAGTTTTGTATGCAATTGAACCCTACATTTCCGAGCCACTGCCAATGATGTTTCAGTTTCAAGTTTTATCTCACATGTATAAACAATCTCTAACGTATGACAAGAGAAAGTTGATCGCAGATGTGAAAGCAGGGAAACTAAAACGTAGCTGATATCTAATTGAATCGGAAGACCAAAAACTCACCTAAGAGTAACCGCTGCAGGAAAGATGAACCCAAGGCAAACTGCAGCAGTTGCTCCGATAAACTGGAAAGCATCCCAGATACTGGGTATGAAATTAGCTCCCAAGAAAATAACTGTGATGAGTCCGACAGTTATACATGCAAACCTCGTATTAGACAGAACTAGAGGCCTTGCAGAAGGGAAGAGGAGGCCATCCATGTTGAGTCGCAGTGGATAGAAAACAATGGGAAATACAAGCATGAGGTGAGCAACGTAGCTGAAACGGACAGCGTCATTAAGCAAAGTTGGCAAGCACATCATCCAATGTTCCGTCACCAAATAGAAGGAACCCGAAAAAACTTATCATTATGTAAACTGATGAGCATAAGACCGGTGCTGTTCGTACAACCGGTCTTATCTGGGTAGAGTCTTCCAGTTCGTTATCTATGCTGTGAACTGCAAATTTACACACTGGAAATCAGTCATTCTTGTTATCCCGAACCAATGTAAAAGATAAAAGGGTACATTGCTCAAATAAAGAGTACAATATTTCATGAACCAACTCACATACCATTGTAGTGGCAGATGTATGCAGTGACTAAAACAGGGCCTACCGTGAAGAGTTTCCAGAATGAGGTCAAATCGATGACATCGGGAAGTAACCTAGGCATCATTATAGTTCCACTAATCAGCTTGATAATTGCTATTCCGACAGTGATGACAAGAAACACAACCGCTAGAGCAACTGATAAGGCGGATGTAAATCTTAAGGAATCTGCATATGAGAAGGCATTATCGCTCGTTAGTCACATACAAATAAACAATAAACACACAATACAAACTACTTGATTTAGATTTATACCGGTGTAAACATAGACAAAAAAGTACTGCTAAATTCTATGTAATACACATGTTAAGCACTTTAACAGCATTTATATCATTTGCACTTGGAAGAGATTGGATATTTTCGAGAAATGATTCAAAAATTATACAAAAGCTGATTCAGAAACCTTGAACTAGAAATAACAGAAACATAGTACATCAGAAATTAAGTTTTCAAAGAGCTACTACTATAAAATACTGAAATAATTTCAATCATGTTTTAATGGAGTCAATATATGATCTATCTATTATCGAATGATCTACCAAGAACAAGCAAGACAACTCACTAGAATCCAGTAAATCTAGCAAAACCAAAAACTAACCGATCCACTTAAAACATACCAAGGGAGAGAAGATGCCGAGTGTAGTGACGAGAAGAATAATGGTCCGTCCGTTCCACCAGTGTTTGCCGAACCACCCTTCGAGGACACCTTCATGGTGCACCCTGTCGTAACCGGTTTTCGTCCGGGCACGAAATATTATACTTTGGCGGGGAAATTGATGTGAATAAATGGTTTTGAAAATAATTTGGGAGTCGCCATCGGCCTTTTGGGTCAGGTAGGTCGAATACCTAAAAATTATTTTTTTAAAGAGTTTTAAGAAAACACCAATTAAAAAAATGAACTGATCTGCGTTTATAACCAAAAATTCGTTCTTTTTAATAATAAAAAGGGATTCGTGGTCGGTTACGTTTAGGGAAGGATTAGCACCCCTACAACGCCCAAAATTGGTACTTTTTAATTATAAATTGTCTCTATTATTAAAATTTTAAAAATTCAAAAATATATTTAATTTATAATTCTATTATTTCAAAATTATATAAAAAAAATATTTATTTATTTAAAAATATCAGAAAAGAACTTCTAGGTGCCTTAAGACAGCTCTTTTCTTTGATATTGATAAATATTAATTTAAATAATATTGTTTACTTTTTAATTTTAAAATATCAGAATGGGACATCCAGTTGTATTAAGACTGTCCTTTTCTTCGATATTAAAAATAAATATTTAAAAATTACTATTTATTATATATATATTTATGAATATATAAAAATATTTAACAATATAATAAAATAAAAATAAAAATACTACTAAAAAAATATATTTAAAAACAATAAAATAAATGAAAACATATAAAATAACTGACTAAATTACAGTAAAAATAAAATTAAAAATCTAATTCATAATTAATCAAAATTATAGGGATTAAATATGTTATTTTCTTATTTAATAATTTAGTGACTAAAATAAAATCATCTAAAATTCGGATATTATAATAAAATAAATTAAAAATATAAACTAGGGATTAAAATATTATTTATTAAAATTAAGGGATTAATTCTGTTATTTATCCTAAATATATTATTTTAATAAAAAGGACTAAAATGAATAAAATTGAAATTCGAAGACTGAATTAAAAATATTATAAAATCGATTTAGTGACTAAAATGTAATGTTTACAAATTAGGAGGACGGCGGACGGGGTTTAACTATTGTCTAATTACACGCATAGTCCTTCCCGAAATGACGTCGTTCGGGAAGGACTATAAAAGGTCCAAACCGGCTGGCCCGAAGGGCCGGTCTTCATTTCTACTTCTCCTCTCTCTCTCTTCTTTGAGAGAAAAAAATTTCTCTCGCTTCTCTCTAGAACAGAGAGAAGCCAGTCTGCCGGCAGCCGTCAGTCGGCGTTCGTCCGCCGTCAACCACTGCCGCCGGCCACCGTCTTCGGTGGCCGGAAATTTTTTTTTTACATCTAAACATAGATCGGACCGTCCTAATGACGGTTCCGATGCTCTTTTCCGTTAAACGGCTCCCAATCGGAGCAAATCTAAAAAGAATACCTTCGGTTTTTTGAAGGTTTTGATGAGATCCGGCGTTTGGCTTCCTCGGTAAGTCTTTCTCTTCCTTTTTCTTTCTCTTCTGTTTCTTTGCTACTGATTGTTGAGATCGTTGGTAGTTTTTAGTATCTAGTTTCTTTGTATCTCTCTCGGTTTCCTGTGTAGTCTCTGTCTTTTTTTCTTTTTTCTGTCTCTGTCTCCCTTTTTTTTTCAGGTTGGGGTGGTGGCTTTTATAGCCACCACCGGTGTGGCCATCGGACTGGTCCGAAGAGGGAGTCTCGGTGAGTCACCGGACTACCAGTGGTGACTCACCCCGTAGCCATGGCGTGGACGGCTGGCTTTGGAGCTTCTGGAGGCTTCGGTTGGGATGTGGCAGCGGCGGAGGCGGCGAGATAGCAGCGGCGGCCGCGTGTCCCTAGGGTATCAGACCCTAGGGTTTCCATCTGGGGCAATCTGGACCGTTGGATCTCTTAGATCCAACGGCTGTGATGAGACGGCCGGCTAGATTAGGGTTAGGAAACCCTAACTGAAACCCCCAAATGTTTAGGGTTTCTGGTTTGTTCTGGACCGGTTCTGGTTTGTTTGTAACTGGGCCAGTCCATTTGTAATTGGCCTGTAATTAATTATTTATATATATATATTTAATATATATTTAATAATAATAATAATAATAATGATAATAATAATAATAATAATAATAATAATAATAATAGTAATGTGGGTAAAAAAATTAGTATCTTCAGCTGCCCCTCTTTGCTCATTCTTGTGTTAACAAGAATAGGGCAAAGATGAAAAGATAATAAAATTTTTTATCCATTTGGCTTCACTTGATTATAATGGAGATATTGAATAAATTTTTCTCTTTCTTCAGATGAGTTCTTCTCATTATGAACTTTCTGCTGGGGATGATGATCCATCAAATGATGAATTCAAGCAAAAGATTGAACAAGTTCTTCTCATTATGAACTTCTTCTTCCTTCTTCAGATGACGAGTTCTTCTCATTATGAACTCTACCTGGCAATGTTGATCCATCAAATGATGAATTCAAGCAAAAGATTGAACAAGTTCTTCTCATTATGAACTTCTTCTTCCTTCTTCAGATGAGTTCTTCTCATTATGAACCTTCTCTGGAAAAGATAATCCATCAATTTGATGAATTCAGAAAAAAGGTTGAACAAATTCTTCTCATTATGAACTTCTTCTTCCTTCTTCAGATGAGTTCTTCTCATTATGAACCTTCTCTGGAAAAGATAATCCATCAATTTGATGAATTCAGGAAAAAGGTTGAACAAATTCTTCTCATTATGAACTTCTTCTTCCTTCTTCAGATGAGTTCTTCTCATTATGAACCTTCTCTGGAAAAGCTGATCCATCAAGTGATAGAATTAGGCAGAAGGTTGAACAAATTCTTCTCATTATGAATTTCTTCTTCCTTCTTCAGATGAGTTCTTCTCATTATGAACCTTCTCTGGAAAAGATAATCCATCAATTTGATGAATTCAGGAAAAAGGTTGAACAAATTCTTCTCATTATGAACTTCTTCTTCCTTCTTCAGATGAATTCTTCTCATTATGAACCTTCTCTGGAAAAGCTGATCCATCAAGTGATAGAATTAGGCAGAAGGTTGAACAAATTCTTCTCATTATGAATTTCTTCTTCCTTCTTCAGATGAGTTCTTCTCATTATGAACCTTCTCTTGAAATGTCAATCCATCAAATGATAGATTTGAATCTTTGCTAAAATCTTTGAAATTCCTGTTAAAAATTCAACAAGAATAAAAATGAATGAAAATGCATCTATTTTTGCAAATGCCTAAATATGATGCATGAATGTTAAGTTGTTTGATTTCAGATTGGTGAATTGAGTATTTCTTCAATTGTAAAAACCCAATAGATCTTTCTTCTTCAAAACAAAGAATCTATCATTTTTGACAAATATAGATGTAGATATAATGTCACAAAACCTCTTGAGAATAAAACTCAATAGTATAGGCTTTTGAAAAGCTTGTATTCAGGCAACATGTTGATTCTGATAACAATTCATCTGATTATGAAGTGACCTTTCAAGATGATTTCACAGATATCGATAGTTCTTCTAATACCGAGAAATCTTGACTTCTGATTCTGATGAAGAGAATAAACTGTTATACTTGACAAAAATGTGATTCTCAGAGGCTGAAACTTCAAATAGCTTTCTTCCGGTAACATATGGGAAGCCATTATGTGATGATCCCAGTTACAAGCAAAGGCGAAACTTGTGCTATGATTTTTGGGAAAGGAATAAGCAAAAGAATCTTGAAAAGAAACTTCTTAATGAAGACGATCATGCAGTTCATCTTTTAATTCTAATGATTGGTTCTGTAGTTCTTACCAAACCAGATCAGATAACTCAAAGAACACTTCCAGAAGATGCTATGAGCACATTCATCTTCCAAATTCAATGATTGGTTCTGCCAAACCAGATCAGATAACTCAAAGAACACTTCCAGAAGATGCTATTGAGCACATTATTCTTCCAAATTCAATGATTGGTTCTGCCTAACCAGATCAGATAACTCAAAGAACACTTCCAGAAGATGCTATTGAGCACATTCATCTTCCAAATTCAATGATTGGTTCTGTCCAACCAGATCAGATAACTCAAAGAACACTTCCAGAAGATGTTATTGAGCACATTATTCTTCCAAATTCAATGATTGGTTCTGTCCAACCAGATCAGATAACTCAAAGAACACTTCCAGAAGATGCTATTGAGCACATTATTCTTCCAAATTCAATGATTGGTTCGGTCTAACCAGATCAGATAACTCAAACAACACTTCCAGAAGATGCTATTGAGCATATTCATCTTCCAAATTCAATGATTGGTTCTGTCCAACCAGATCAGATAACTCAAAGAACACTTCCAGAAGATGTTATTGAGCACATTATTCTTCCAAATTCAATGATTGGTTCTGTCCAACCAGATCAGATAACTCAAAGAACACTTCCAGAAGATGCTATTGAGCACATTATATTTGTTCCAAATTCAATGATTGGTTCGGTCTAACCAGATCAGATAACTCAAAGAACACTTCCAGAAGATGCTATTGAGCACATTCATCTTCCAAATTCAATGATTGGTTCTGTCCAACCAGATCAGATAACTCAAAGAACACTTCCAGAAGATGTTATTGAGCACATTATTCTTCCAAATTCAATGATTGGTTATGTCCAACCAGATCAGATAACTCAAAGAACACTTCCAGAAGATGCTATTGAGCACATTATATTTGTTCCAGTTAATGTTTGGACTAGGATATCATAATGCTTATTCGATGTAGAGCCAGAATTTGTAGATTCGAAGCATTTCTATCATACTACACTGAAAAGGACTATATTCATAATTCTGCCAATTAAGAACAGAGTTTCTCTTATTCTGCTTCCTCCATGTGCTGATGTTTTTCCATTGACAAAGAAATGATGGCTTTCATGTGATCCAAGAACAAAGTTGAACCGTTTATAAACATGTACAAGAAGTACCAAATTGACAGAAAGGATCTGTAAGGCTCTTAAAGCTTATGACAATGAGCCAACTTCGAGTGTTCAGAAGTATGTTCTTAATGAG